CAGCCACCAGGGGGCTCCCGAGGAACTCGATGAACTTGAGCTTCACTCAAAAGCCAACTAGGCTGCTTTATGCAGGAGAGACTGCAGGTACCAGGTGAGACTAGGAGCCTCCCCCCCCCCGCTCAGGTCAGCTTCTGCCAGCAGAGACCAGACCTCAGGGAGATGCGGCTTGTTCTCCACGGCTGGCTGGCAAAGGCCACGGTTAGCTGCCAATTGCCCTCAGAGGATTTGAAGTTTTCAGCCTTCCTCACTCCCCAGTGATCACCCTTTCAGATCCATGGGACAGCAAAGCACATACACAGATATGGCACATTCCGTGCTAATCATAACCTTGTAGCCCATGACTATTAACGAATACTTCAACGATCAAGTAAACAAAGAGCTTTATGATAGGTGACGGCAGACATCCGTGAGTGTGGACGGTTAATGTGAAGTTATACGTAGTTCTACCTAGAAAAAAACACAAGCCTGGCATTCTGCAGACCAGAGTTGCCACTTGGTCTTGCAAGTCTCTTCTCACCTCTAGGCCTCATTGCTGGAAATTGAGTGGTTGGGATAGAAGCCACTAGCTAAAAGGTCTCCTCCTTCTCTGTTAGGAGTTTTTGCTGGGGCACTGTACTAATTCCCTAGGGCTGCCATAACAACATACCACAAACTGGGTGGCTTAAAACAACAGAAACATATTTTCTCATAGTTCTGGAAGCTAGAAGTCCAAAATTGAGGTGTCCAGCAGGGCGGTGCTGTCTTGGATAGCTCTAGGTGAGATTCCGTCCTCGATTCTTCCAGCTTCTGGTGTTTGCCAGCAATCATAGATGTCCTTGGCCTGTAGATGACGGTCTTCTCTCTGCGTGTCTTCACATCAGCTTCTCTGTGTGCGTGTCTGTCTCTGGGTCCAAATTTCCCCTTTTTATAAGGAAACTCGTCATATTGGATTAGCGGCTCCATCCCCAATGACTTCGTTTTAACTTAATTACCTCTCTAAAGACCCTACCTCCAAATAAGGCCATATCCGAAGCACTGGCGGTTAGGACTTTAACATAATTTTTTGGAAGGATACAGTTCAACCCAAAAAAGGGACAATGTTGTAGAAAAGAAAAGATAATGTTTGAAAGGCCGATAATAACAGACCCGTGAATTGTGCACGCAGGTGGGTCATACCACCCTGAGGTTCTAGGATAGAGTTACAAGTCTACAAAGATTCCATAAAAACATAAACAATTATGTTGTAGGAAACTACATACTGTGATTTTACAGAGAAAAGTGAGCATTGTAACCCAAGCAATCTCCATAACCCAAATTACATTAAATTCACTATATTTGATTATTTCCTATGATCATTAATACAGAAAATCAAATACAAGTCAAGACCAAAAACATCCAGATTTTTTTTTTTTGCTAAAAAGGTACAACAGAAGTTGATTATTGTGCTCCTAAAAACATTATCATAGAACTCTTTTACATAGTAAACACTCAGAACTCTTTTATATAATATATTAAATACAGAGAACTTGTATATATTAAACTTTCACAAAATCAGATTCATACAAGCATTCATTACATAAACAAGGCCACCACCAACAAAGGGCTATCCATTCTTTTGGGTTTTAACCAGAACACTCATGGTCCAGCAGGCACCGCTTCAGTTCCTGACACGGCTTCTCAATGAACAGTGTCAGGGCTAGCCCAGTGACGAACGTCAGCAAACAGTGTCCGGAGAAAAGATAGAACTGGAGAGAAAGAAGGGCAGGTGAACACAGTGTTACTCCAGAATTGCTATTGTGTTCAGATCCTACAGGAAACCTTCCTGGCCATATGAAACGCATGTGTAGGACAATCTGTGCTAAACACTAAAAATAAAATAAATAAAGATGTTATCCTGTGCTGTAGCCCTCCTTCTTTCTCCCACAAATAAAACAAAGAACAACAAGGCTCTAAAAAAAAAAGAAAGAAAGAAAGAAAAGGAAAGAAGGAAAGTCTTCCAAAGAAGCAAACAGATTGCTCTGTTGCTCAAGAAGGGAACAAGCTAGGGCACTGTGACACAGCTGGCTGCGTGCTGCTCACCATGTTGGCGTCGGTGTAGTGAATAAGCGTTTCCTGGAGCCCGTTGTAGAGGATGATCAGAATCGGATGCACCAAGTAGCAAGCGTAACTGATGCTGGCCAGGAAACTCCAGACGTCCCAAGAAAGCATCCGGTTCACCAGACCTGGAAGGAGCAGACATTGATTCAGGAAGCCGTGAGCCCCTCTCTAGGCCGGTGAAGACACCCTGTAGCCACTGCTCTCTTTGGATTCTGCACCTAAGTCTGGGGACTTTTCCTAAGAAAGTCTTTATGCAATAAAATTTTTAAGAGAATGCACCAAAGAAATAAAGCCTTCCCGTTGCAAGAATCTGATAGCACTAATATGAGAGAGATGCTAATCTTGAGTTCATAGGCCTACTTCCTTAGCGTGGTTTCACCCCCTGTGGAGAAAGTATTTCACGCATGAAACAAGGTATGAAATCCTTGCACAGGGCTGGGTTCTGGTTCAAGATGTGGCCACAGGAGCCAATGGGCTTGGAGATGAGGCATTTGACATTGCCCAGCCCCAGACTTTTCGTCTGTGAGAAGCTTGCATTCCGTTTCAGGATAAATATTCTGTAACTCAGTATATGTTCTAGAACTGTGCTGTCCCAGACAATAGCCACTTGTCACTCGTGACTATCTAAGTCAATTAAAATTAAATGCAATGAAAAATTCCTTTCTGAATAGCATTGAGCACTCTCTCTAGTCGGTTGCATAGTGGTCCTCTAAAAGGCATGTCCAAGCAGAACCTCAGCATGTGACCTTAATTGGGATAAGCGTCTTTGCTGATGTAATGAAGGGAGAGATCTAGAGACGAGACCATCCTGGATTAGGGTGGGCCCTAAACCCAATGATGAGTGTCCTTGTGAGAGACAGAAAAGGAGACAGACACAGAGGAGGGACACAAGGAAGAAGGCCACATGATGATAGAGGCAGAGACTGGAGTGACGAAGCTACCAGCCAAGGAACACCAAGGCTTGGCAGCAGCTGCTGGAGGCTTGGAGAGAGGATGGGACAGATAGATTCTCTCTTAGAACATCCAGAAGGGACCAACCCTAATAACACCTTGATTTTGGACATCTGGCCTCCAGAACTGTGAGCGAATAAATTTCTGTTGTTTTAAGCCACTTAAAAAAGAAAACTTCTATCTCTCCTTTGTACAAGCCTCCTTTCAAGTGCTCGGTAAGGCACCACGGTTTGCTCAGTTGCTCAGGACAGGATCTTTGGAGCCATTCAGACGCCTTTCTTGCCCTCGCACACCAGAGAGTGCTGTCAGTCTGTCTTAAAAACATGCCTCAAATCAGACCAGCGCTCACTCCCTCCACTGCTAACACGCTCACGAATCTTCCCTCATCTCCTCCGTGAAACTCCGTGGTAGATGCAGTGGTCTACCAGCGGATCTAGTGGCCTCTGCTCTCGTTCTTGCCACCCTACAGTCCCCGTACAACACCCAGAGTTATCTCTTAACATCACAAATCGGAGAAGAAAGGGGAAAGGGGAGATGTTGATCAAACCTAAGTCATCATTACGTTAGTCAGTTATTCTTGATAACACCAGCCCTTCTCACATTAGACGGGAATATTGTGATGTTTATCATAACATTATAAATAGCCTCTGCCGGGCCAGGGGGAGTAGTTGTTTATTAGGCTCTATGACAGTTCAGGGGCATGGTCACAGGATGGCGAGAGGGCATTAGGGTCGTGGTCATGTGACTCAGATTTTCCCATCAATGCAAATACATCTGTCAGAGAGAATGCAGCCCATGTTCTCTTTAACTTCACTTTTCATATAAGGGAAAGCTTTTAAAATTAAAATATTCAGGCACAAATCCCTCATCGTTATATTCAAATACTGATAAAATTTAAGAACAATTTTAATCAACATCTGGGAAAGGGCCTATCCTCAGAAATGAAGAGTGTGGGCTTTAGACCTCACGCTTGTTCCCGGGTTCGTTTTCCAGCTCGGCCACTGGCCAGCTGTGTCACCTCATCTCCAGGCACGGTGGTTCTCATTGAGAAATAGAGCTGATAATGTGATAGGTCTGCCTCCCAGGGGGCTCAGTGCTGCCTGGACCCTGTGGGTGAAGTTTTCCACAGGCCTGGTATATAGCATGCGCTCCATAAGCAGGAATTACTAATCACTTCATTACTTTTCTCTTTAAACTATGATTTCCAACTACTTTGCTGAGGCCAGCTGGTTTTGGTCCACAGGCTGAATTTAATTAGCCTGATTAATTCCCTGGAGTCTAAAGCCGTCCTGTCTCCACGTGGGTCCACTTCTCCTGCTTTGGGCTTCTGGGGAGTTTGGGGCCAGGACGCTTTTCCGGACGCTCCCTGCCAGCCCTTGTCCTGCCGTTTCCTGGCACCCCAGGCAGGTGCCAGGCTCCCACCTCATGCCAAACAGAGGAGAAAGGAAAGGAAGCATCAGGCAACTTGAATACACATTTCTAATCTGGAGAAGACTCCTTTCTTTCCGTTCAAGCTCTGTATCTGCTTGGCTCCCTGCATGCTGGAAGCTGACTCAACAGAAACAGTTTCCCCAGTTTTGGAAGGGGATCTTGGCAACTATTTAGTCTGATACCTTCAGATGGGGAAACTGAGGCCCAAGGTGGTGTGACCAGACGTCTTGCCCCCCAGCACTGGTATGTTTGTTTGTTTTCTCATGACATTACTTTGCCTGAGTTCTCTTCCAACTTCTAAACTAGCTTCATTGGAGGGGCTGCAACTTTTTCTTTCAGAACCTGCATTTGTACCTAAATCCATGTAAAAATCTACAACAGGCTATGTGGGATGTTTTCCCCAAGGATGTAAACCAATCAGTGTTTTCAGTCACCAGAGGTCTTCACCCACCACCCCAGCAAATAGAAGCCCCTCTGGTTACACTCCTTGTGTGTTAAATTTGTCACCTTTGCAGGAACAGCCTGCGATCCAAGGGCAAAGGCTTGAGGGACATCATACCTCCATAGCCTCCCCAGCAGGCGAAAAGGACCCAGCCCACGGCTGCCGCCCACAGGGTCCGGTGGAGGGCCTGGTAGAGGGCCGCGGCCACTGAGGAGGAAGCAGAGGCGTCGTCCACTGCGTACGCCAGAGCGACCACTGCAAACAGAGTGGACAGGGAGCAAGTCCACCCCAGCAGGGCCTGCAACTGCGGGGAAAAGAGAGGTGAGTCCAGCCCAGCCCACGTGAGCCATTGTGTGAGTCCCTCCTGTTCAGTGTCATTATTGTCACTTCAGATCTTTATTCGTAAACCTCAGTTACTACTCAGATTTGACTAAAATAGAAGGTTGTGACTAGAAAGGGGTGGCGAGAGGGAGATCTTTGTGGTGACAGAGAGTTGTATACCTTGATGGTGGTGGTTATGCAAATCTGTACACGTGACAAAATTGTCCAGAACCACACACATACACACACACACACACATACAAGTGCATGTAAAACAGGCAGATCCAAGGGCTATGGATTGTGCCAATGTCAATTTCCTGGTTGTGATCATGTACCATAGTTATGCCACATGTTACCAGTGGGGAAGCTGGGGGAAGGGTTTTGCAACTTCCCGTGACTCTATAATTCTTTCAAAACGACAGTTAAAATCAATCAATAAATAAAGTAATGCTCTAACCCACTCCTGCTACTCCTAATCTCCCATCCTGTCCCTTAACCAAGTAAGACTCCTTGATGAATTTTATGCCCCCATCCCCAAATGTAAGGACCTACAGCACACACCCCTGCCTGGGCAGCACCCTACTCAGCAGGGACATAGAACGGTGGAAGGAATGGGAGAAAGGAGAAGTTTTCAATTCAAAGAATAGCTCCATGAGTTAAATCCTAATACTTAGCTCAGTTCAAGATCTTAGATCTTATGTCATCTTACTTGACCTTTCTAGACCCAGACCTATCGAGCTCTCTTGCTTCTCTGTGCTCTGGTGCTCCAGCTGGTGTCGTGGTGTCTACACGGCACTGGTGTGGTGCTGTCTACACGGCACTGGTGTCAGTCCACCATCTTGGCTCTGAGATTCCTGCCCGAGTTTCTGGCCGTAGAGGAGGAAAGGTTACCCTCAGGGGCTCTCCCCTCTTTCAGCCTAGAATCCTCCTCACCCTTTTGCTAAGTCCTTGGCCTAAACGCGCCCGCAATCTCTGGAGATGCATCCCGGGCATCGTGTCCTCTTTCTGTCCTTGCCCGCCTGTCTTTCCTCGTGGTGCATCCTACTTGTCTCACTCCTAGCCCACAGTGCAGGCCCTGCTTCCTCCAGCTCAGATGCTGTGTTATTTTCTAGCTTCTAAAGCTCTGAATTTGGTCTACACAACACTTCTACGCTGTTTTTCCAGCTCCACTTGGGTCATATTCCAGCTTTGCTCTTCCTGGTCCTGACCCTGGCCCTTGGAGTGGTCCCCAAATGCTCCCTCTTCATCTTGGGTTTTCCCTTTTTCTCACACCCATTTCCCCCTGGTCCTTCGTGTAACCTGGACTATGTCGAAGCATCTCTTTCATGGCACTGTGTTATAATCTACGATGGAGTTGTGCATTTCTGGGGAAATAGCCTAATTCCAACCTATAGAAAAAGTCACATGGCCCCTGTGTAGCCATTCCTTCCAATTAGGTCCTACCTCCTGTTGCTGCCAGGAGCAACACAAGATTTTCCAAGGACAAGGCCTCTTCTCTGAGATGTCTAGGTGAGGCACCCACAAAACCTAGGCAAACTAAAATAAGGCCTAGCAGAGGCGTTTGGGGCAGGAGTTGCATCTTAATAACAAGGGAATTCCTGGCCCTCCTTCCATGGAGAAGCGAAATATCTTTTATTAAGTCATGTATTAAGTGCCTTCAGTGAGTCAGGATCTCAGAACCAGACGCTGGCGATTCAAAGGTGAGTGAGATAGGTCATGCCTTCCAGGAGTGCACAGTCTGTGGGATGGTTAAATGCATTACTGCAGAGTGAGAACCAGGGTCCAGGTGGACTCCCTGGAGGTGAAAAGTCTAGGGAGCCTTTGAGGCTAAAGAAGAGTGAGATGTAAGGGAGGGCGGGTTGGGGAGAGCTGGGAGAGGAGAGGCACATTCCAGGCAGAGAAGGCAGCGTGAGCAACCGCACATGTGTGGGAATAGCCCATGCGTGTGAGTGGTGGTGTCAAAGGCACCGTGGGCAGGTTGGTATCACTGATGCACAAAGTGCAAGGCAGAGAGTGGCGAGAGAGATGACACTGAAGAAACGGGCAGAGCCATGTCATGGGGACCCTGAGGGCCTTGCTGAGCAGATCCAGCCTCATCCTGGATATCGAAAGGAAGCCATTGAAAGGTTTTGCGCAGTTCAAGGACATGACCAAGGTGTTGTTTTGAGTAGATCGCCCTGAGAGGGGATATGAGATCAACAAGACTGTAGACAAAAAAAAAAACAAAAAAAACTAGTGAAGAAGTCCAGGCGAGAGATGAGAAGAGCTCCCACAAAGCCAGCTGGAGAGGTTAGGAGAGGACGGCAGGAGAAGAAATCAGTGGTGCTTGGTGGCCAATTGCATGGGGAGAGTGGTCAGCAGGAAGGAGGCATCCGGGTTCCAGCTCGAGCAGTGAGGTTGGAGGGTGAACCAGAACGATTGCCCACAAAGGAGTTAGAGAAGACATTGTGTGCTCCAGGTGCACCTGAAGGCAAATACAGCTTCTCCCCCTCTAGACACCGCATGTCCTGATTTGCAGGTGGAACCATCAAATCCGACCAAGAATCTTGTCTATAGAAACCATGGAGCATGTGCTGTTCAAAATCCAACGCAACTGACTTCTTCCAGAAGAGGGTCTTGCCATTGTAATCTCACTAGGTATATTTTCCCACACCGGTAGTTTCTTTGGGTATGTACCAAAGGGGACCCCACAGGGTTCCAAACCTGTAGCTCCACCAGGGGAGCTGAGTGAAGAAAGCAGTGAATTAAGTTCTGGCAAGAGAGAAAGTCCTTCTTTAGTACAAAGAGCCATCAGGAACACACTGCAGCTCAACACCCAGCAATCCGACGACTCTGTCCAGATGGGCCACGCCAGTCCCAATCATACAGTAAGGCTCAGGGAAACCATACCTTGGTTTTCAGAATGTTTTCCTGGTGGTTTTGGTGCATGAGAATGCTTAGAAACACACCAACAAGGAACGGCCCAAAACGGCAATAGGGCTTAGTATAATACTCCAAGAAATACGATGCAGCCACATTTTCACTGAAAAACACAAGAAAATGAGGAAAAAGTTTATGTTTGATCTGCATATGGAAAAGGGAATCCCCGAAATGTCTGCAGGGGTAATCAGCAAACCCAGAGGTAGGTTTGGCGCACGTTTGTCCATTTTCTCAGTAACCATCTGCAAACAGTGACCTCATGATCCTGCCTTAGGTGGCAGCTGGCTTGTTCAAGTTCCAAATTCCCTGGGGCCCCTCCATCCTGGATCCCAAGGAAATAGGATGACTGTGTTCATTTTAAATATACAATTGTTTCTTACCGCTGCTGTGTCAGGATAGTTCTAAAAATGTAGCGCCCAGAAGTGAGCCCAAGGCTCCCAAGGACAAAGGTTGATCCTGGAGGCGTGTTAGAATGCTCTTACAGGAATCAGTTGCCTGGGCCCCACCCCTAGAGGTTCGGGTCCAAGGAGAGGCTGGAAGTATTGGTAGGATCTGAAAGCTTCCCAGGTGACTCTGGCGTGCAGCCAGGGTTGAAAACTGCTGGGCAAGACAAGCTGAGCCTCTTCCTGATCACCTGGGCACGCCCACATAGGCAGATGGCGTGATGTGGGGAGGGCACGACGCTCTCCTGGTTGGGAGGCTTAGGTGTAGTCACTGAGGCATTCATTTATTCACACTTTCCACCCACTCACAAACTCATATTGAGTACTTCTGTGCCAGGCACAGTTCTGGGCTATTTTATTTCAAGAGGTCAGCAAAGGCTGCTCTGAGAAGGTGACATTTGCACAGACACCTGAAAGCCATGAAGAAGAAAGCCCTGCCAAGATCTTAGATTCTAATAGAAAGGCTGTTCCCTGTAGGTTGCGGGAACACCAAGTGCCAAGGCCCTGAGGGGGAGCATGCTTGGCGTGTCGGTGCAGTGTGGCTGGTCCAGAGTCAGCAAGTAGGAGGAGATGGGGGAGGCCAGCCAGCCACTGGGGGAATTTGAGCGGATGAATGACATGAGCTGACTTTCATTCGTGTCACTCTGACGGCTGCACTGAGAACAGCCATCCATACCTCACTGGGGAGGCAAAATAGCATGTGGGTAAGGTCCCAGGTTCAGTCACTCCTATGCCACCTACCAGTTGTGGGACCTTGAAGAGGTAACCCCGACTTCCTTAGGTTTTAGTTTCTCCACCCAGGAATGGAGCTTCCAGGCAGCAATTTGCCACTGGAGGAGAAACGATGCAGCCACACGGGGGCGCTCCTTTCCTCTGGGAAGTATTTCTGTGGGCAACGTGAGCTCACAGGGGACCCCACCACCACTGCGAGTGCAAGTTGAAAGGTTCGGAAGTTTGGAAGCGAAAATGCAACCAACTTTCCCATCCAGACCGAAAATTTCCCACCTAGTTTTTCCACGAGTTGATGGGCACAGGACAAACAGCCTGGCATTCAGCAGCCCTCCTAGGAGGTCCTGGCCAGGGAGGGGTCAGGCTGGGGAGCCAACTTTACCTGACTTCTGTCGGAGCCACCACGGGAAGTTTATAAGCCAGTGTAAGCAGAGCAGTGGCCGTGAAAGATGCCAAGAACAGCACCACCCCGAGGAGGATGAAGATGTGTTTATTTCTGCAAATAAAAGGGGACATGGAGAGGGGCATCCTTCAGTGTCTTTCACACAACATTTATGGACACAAATGGCTGGAAATTGTGACAATCAGAGGAACTTCTTGCTGCCCTGCTTTGGAGAGGTTGATGGGGGACGAGAGCTGGGCTGGGGCTGAGTACCCGAGGTAGCCTTTGGTCTTGGCTCTTGACCATTTACTAGCTGTGTGACCAGGGAAGGGCCTTGAACTTGAGTTTCCAATCTACACAAGAATAGCAATAGCATCCTTGCCTGCCCCACCCTGAAGCTTACTGTGCAGCTCAAAATGAGACGATGCTTGGGATGTCCCTTGGTCCCTTGTCACCTATGAAACACAATATGGACACAAGTGGTTGATTTAGGAAAGAGGACTGTCAAAGTAGGGTAGGACACAGGGTGGACATGGCACCCACTCCAAGCACAGGGCAAAGTGCATAGAGTAGGAGGAGGAGTGTCTAGGTGTTCCCCACCCCACCCCCAAACCTGGAAGCTGGTAGCTCATGTGGGAGTAGAAATGAGGGATCAGGTAGTAGAACAGGGAAGCGGAGAAAGCCAATACAAGGATGTGACATCAAGGTAGTCAATGCTCAATTCTTCCAGAATGTTCTGCAGAGTCCTATGAAATGAACCTCAAAACTGTCCTGGGGGATGAAAGAGGGAAGCCTTTTCCCACTGTCTTCTGTCCCCCATGGGTCAAGGGTGACCCCACACAAATTAATTTCTCCACACTTTGGAATCATGCATGTGTGAGGCCAGGAAGGGCCTGCAGAGGTTCTGGGGCAGAAGAGATTTGAGAATATGGGCTCAGAGAGAGGCACTGTCTGGTTGGACCTGCTCAGAATCATGAGGGTTGGGACTAAGAGGATTGGCAGTGGTGTAGAAGAAGTGTCAAACACAGGCATAAGACCATCCAGCCACAACCCTACCCAGATGATGCCTTTGACAATCCTATTCCACTGCTTGAAGTTGCCATGGTTCTTCATGAGGAAGGGCTATACTGATAGAAGGAGAAAGTGATTTTCATCCAGTGTGCCAATTTTAGTTTAATACTTGGAAAAGAGGGTGAATCCTAGCTCCATGGTGCTGTGATTGACTAGTAGTGTCTGCTATGAATGTGGGCAGGGGAGGAGGGTATGGTAAGAATACTGTGTATTTACTGTGACTTTTGCCAGACCCTCTAGCTCTGTTCTCCTTGAATTACAGAGCTCTAAAAAGACCTGATTCCATTGGCATTCTACTCAAGCATATTCTCTGATGGAAAAAAGCCCTACCTTTTATACCTCCCTCCATTTAGAAGCTAAATGTAGTTGCATAGTCACAAGCCTGGACAGTGTTGGCTTTCAGCTGAGGGACCGAAATCTACCTCCCATGGCAGCCTCTAGGAAAGATGCTGATGTAGGGGGCCAAGCTCCTCAGTCACAAGGACACTCAGGTGGGTTTCCAGCCAGGTCTGGAGTGGGAAGGTACTAAGAACTCGTTGTCCCAGGTGGGTGGTAAACCACCCAGTTGAGCCATCCAACAAAAACTCACACCCACCCAAGTAAATATGTGTTTAACTCCCTGGGGGACTTGAGCCCAATCCCTGGCATCTACTTTCAGGATTTAGTAGTCTCCACTGCAGACTCACAAGTCTCCACTAGCTAACCACCATTTCAGCTAAACTAATAACGCTTCCTGACATAGACTGTTATGAGCTGAGCTGTGTTCCCATCGAAGTCATATGTTGATGTCTAACCCCCAGTACCTCTGAATGTGACTTGATTTGGAGATAGGGTCTTTAAAGAGATAATTAAGGTTAAATGAGGTCATTGGGCTGGGCCCTAATCCAATATGACTGGAGGCCTTATAAGAAGAGGAAATTTGAACACAGAAGGAAAAATATATGTGAAGACTCAGGGAGGCCGGTGCGGTGGCTCACGCCTATAATCCTAGCACTCTGGGAGGCTGAGGCGGGAGGATTGCTTGAGTTCAGGAGTTTGAGACCAGCCTGAGCAAGAGTGAGACCCTGTCTCTACAAAAAATAGAAAAATTAGCCAGGCGTGGTGGTGCGCACCTGTAGTCCCAGCTACTGGGGAAGTTGAGGCAGGAGATCGCTCGAGCCCAGGAGTTGGAGTTTGCAGTGAGCTATGATGACACCACTGCACTGTAGCCCAGGTGACAGAGGGAGACCCTGTCTCAAAAAAAAGAAAAGACTCAGGGAGAAGATGGCCATCTGCAAGCCAAAGAGAGAGGCCTCATAAGAAATCAACCCTACCAACAACTTGAATTTGGACTTCCAGTTTCCAGAACCATAAAGAAATAAATTGCCGTTGGTTAAGCCATCCAGTCCAACAGCGGTGCTAGCGTGTTCATACATCAAGTTACTAAAACAATGAGACAGGAAGAGTGAATGTCAAAGAGGACACAGGCCCCACCTTCCCTTGTATTAGTCCCGTGTCCTTCCAAGCCCCTGGGTCACTGATCAGGACCTCTGGCCACAGCACACACGGTCTGGTGCTAAGGCAGTCCCCTTAGCCAGCTTGGTGCTAGGCCACCTCGGGTTAGTGGTTGTGTTTTCTGGCTCTTCGGGAGGACTGCTCCCAGGAAAACAGGATGGGGAAAGGACCAGAGCTTCAAGCACTGACCACCATGCTGTTCTCTCAGGAGTGCTTGTCTCTCAGAAAGGCCCATTCAGGAGCTGTAGCCCGGGAGGAGGAAGGAATAGCAGAGTGTCTCTGGTCTGAAAGACCCCAGGCTGCCTCTGAAGCCTCTGTCAGCCCCCAGCGTCCTGGCCAGGACTCCCCACCGCATTTCTCTTGCCCTTTCCCCACTAAATACCCACACTAGCGGTCAGAGCATCGGCACAGGAACCGGCAGAGCCCGCCCTTTCTCCTCTGCCAGGACTGTGGGGCCAGTACCTGCAGTCAGTGGCCACGGTCCAGTCCCAGCTGCTCCTCCTCCCCCAAGGGAGCTCTTAGAGTTCAGCTGCCTCACAAGAAGGAGGCATCCACCCCAGGTGAGCCCCAGTGGGTGTTAGCATCTCTCAGCTCTTCCTTGGAGAACCCCTCCCCTGGCAACAGGACCCAGGGTGGGCAGGGTCACCATCCTGACCTCTCTAGGGACTCTGTCAGGGGAAGCTTGCTCAGCATCCCTAAGGCAACTTTTTCTACTCCCGACCTTCCTTGCCTGACTCCCTGTTGGGGTGAGGGGGAGCACACTAATTCCTGATTCCCACCGCACTCCATGGTTTCTTCTTGGGGAGACATGGTTGTAAATAAAGTAGACATGGGGTGGTAGATCTTTCTAAGAGACGATAGTCTAAGTTTTTTTTTTTTTAATCTTGATTCCCCAAATACAAAGAACCGTGATTATCAGATTTTATAATCTGCATAGTCCATCTCATATGCTTTTGTCAGTTCTATTTTGCCATAAATTATATCATTTCTCCCCCCACTAAAATAGGACATTAGATTAGGATGCTGTTTTCTGGGGATGCAGGGGGAACAGAGGCCTTCCCCCTCCTCCACGGCATCGTATGTACAGGTACCCCACCTGCCATCCCAGGACCTGGGCACTGGCTCGTGGTCTCCATGTCGCCCCGCCCCTCGGCAGAGGTGAAATTCAGAAGTAGAGAAGGTGGGTGCGTGAGAGAGAACGGGGCTGAGCAGAAGCAAAACCCCTGAGATCCAGGCAGCCATCAGCGACATGCACCCAACACCAATACCTTCTGGAAAGGGTGGATAGAGAGGAAATTGGAAAGGGGACCGGCTGTACATATGAGGGACTCTCTGTGGAGCAAGGACAGTACAGAGATGACGGCGAGCTGGCCGGCCCCTGAACTGGGCTAGCTGAGTGGAAGCTCACAGCGGGTTATCCAGCCACCCTTCCGCCACCCCTGCAGAGGCTGGAGGGGCAAGGGGCCCCCACTACTTGTGGACAGGTGGTTGGGGACCAAGGCAATTACACTGGAATCTCAAAGGACAGGAAACCAAGTTGGCACGTGGGTTACTCATTACTGAGAAGCAAGCACTGTGCTAGTTCCCGTAAGTAGGATCTCATTTATCCTTCAAGCAGATGCAAAGTGTTATTATCCCCATTTTATAGACATGAAAAATGAAGACGAAAGTCCAGCAACTCACCCTGGGGCCCCTGGCTAGTAATTTACCAGTCATGATTTGAACCCATGTCTTCTCATTCAAATTTCTTTTTTTTTTTTTTT